GACTGGATGTCGCGTTGCCTCGGGGGGTACTGACATGGGATCTTGTGTGGCTAATAGGAGATCAAGCGTCGGACGAAGACTGGCTGTTTAACCTGCCGAAAGCGACGGATAAAGGTGCGTACATTTTTCTTTGCTTAGATCTATCCTACCTGTGATGAAAGCATGAAACTCGATTGCTTGATGAGCAAATTTGGTTGGGACAACATGAGTCAAATAACTGGCCAAATCTATCCCAAAAACACGTTATTGTACGGGGAAGAGAAATAGACGTTTGAAATGGCTTTTATCCCACGCGACAGGATTACACAATTCAAGTTCGCTTGATATGGTTTTCTGGGTCGCTTGAGGTCGAGCTACGCGAAGCGAGCGAGCCATCTTAGATCATACCTTACCTTATTTTGGCGCCGCCTCCACGCTCACTCACCTCCATTCATTCATTTCCTCACACGGCCGAAATCGAGCATCGTACACCCCTCCCAGCCCTGTCACCTCGGCTGCACCAATTGCAGCTGCGCCGTCCTGAAAACTTCAAGGGAAACCAGAAGTCCCTCGCTGACCCAGGAACTCCTCAGTGCGACGAGACACACCCCACGTGCAATAATTGCAAAAAGTCGAAGCGCGAATGCTTGGGCTACGATCCGATCTTCAAGCAGCAGCCCAGCCCTGCCAACCTCCAGCCAGCTCCTAACAGCCAGCCGTCAGCTTCAACACCCGTCCAGCCACCACAAACTGTGCCCTCATCGACGGCACCGTCATACACCACCCAAGCTCCACCTGTACTGACGCCAAGTCACTACACCGCTTCCGAATCGCCGAATCTCACTTACGATACGTCGTTGACATCGGAACGACCTCCCGATGCGAGAGGCAAGGGCTTTGAAAATTCTACATACATAGACCCGGCTCTCGAGAACGCGGGTCCTCAATCAAGCGGATTGAAGACGGAGCCGACGGATCAAAAGTTAGCAGATTCTCTACATCTCAGAGGTGGCGGCCCTTCTTCTAACCCCCCCTCTCCGCACCCTGATACTACCTCAGCAAGCGCACCTGCTTACTCAACTTCTTCAGTAAAGAAGATGAAAGTCGATGAGCTCATCGCACTGGGCGGCACGGCGCCTCCCTTTCCGACCAAGCCTCTTCCCCGGGACGTAATGGAAGAGGTGACGAAAATCTACTACGAGATATACGTCCCGGGTCTCTGTCAATTCTTCGAAACCCAATGGTACAATTTCAAGAACCAGGGCCCCAATCCGATCACCGTCTTCCTCGAAAACAAACCTCTTGTTTCCTTAATCGCCGAATTTCTCAACGTCCTTAGAACTGTCTCTACCTCCGATCAAGGCCAGATGGCCTATTCTGGAAACCTTGAGACACGAGTGGTCTGGGGCCTCACCACACTCGCATACAGAATACCACAATCTATCAATTCTCCGCGTGACGATTCCCTTCCCGAGGACGACGCTACTGAGCTTCGCAACCGTCTTTATGTCTTCGAAACTCTTTTGACGGGCGAGATCCTTGCTTCAAACCCTCTACTCTCCCCGCCAAAGAATGCTGATGCTCACCGTAAAAATGAGTATGAATTCTGGTATTTACTCGCGGAATTTCTACGACAGACAGACGCTAGCCAGCGAGAGCGCCTCCTTACCAGACTTCGACACTTACTTGAGGGTCGCGAGAATCGCGATGTACTCTACTCTCTTGCTATCTTGCGCGAGCTATCCCCTCGTTTTGCGCCTGGTTATGAGAATAAGGTGGAGCCACATCTTGATGAGAGCGAGCCCCGGAATAAGCTTCATGTGGCCACACAGTTCATCAACGCCGAGGCAAGCAATACTGGCGGAACAACAAATGTGGTGCGGCGATTTGCTTTCATAGCGACGAAAGCCTTTATCAATCCTGGGATCAACATCAGTCGAAAGGCATAAACCTTGCATTATAAGTCCTGCAACACAATCCGAGCATATCTAGTCACGAAATCCTTGCAGTCACGCATGCCTTTCTGATCATTGTATCAATAGCGAGCACGCTTTCCTTTTTTTATCATTTTAGACGACACGGCCGGTATTTTCCTTTTCCTTTTTACGAGCCACGTACAAAACTTGCGAAGGATATTATAATAAGGCGAACTTCTGTGAAGACACTTTTTTCAACATCAAATAGTCCAGACCTTTGAACACCCCATTCTGGCCTCGTGGAATATTAATGCATCTCCTTTCGATGTTCCTACACAGCATATTCGAACTCTCGGAACAAACAGAACCAGAGTCACATCCGTTGTGTGCTCTTTTGGGCCACAGCGTCATCTACGGTCGGAAAAGGGCATTGTCCCGTTGTTTTTTAACTCTCATGTTTTTGTTTTTCCGGAAAATTTTGGCGACGGCGCGAACTGCATCTTTGACTTGTTCTTGCGCCTGGCATCTATGTTGATGATTTTCTGGAAGGACCCTCGTTGCGTGTTTGCAACGAGGTATTCCTTGTGTACGATTATACGGGCGGAGGCGGAGAGACTCAACCGGAGGGAGTTTGGAGAGCTCGACTGTCTGGCCTGCAGACGATCGATGTGTGTATTATTGGATGGTCATAATGATTCAAGCCCTTTAGAAGACCTGGGTCTTGTATGCGGTTTGCCATGGAGCCAGAGGGACTTCATGCGTGCAGTCTGCGTAGCTTGATGCAATTGCACTACTTAACTGCTCCTCTTCGTTTGTTTCTACACCATGATAAGATCCCTCTGCGTAGCTTGCTCTCGTACTCAAGGTATGGAGTGTGTATCGAGCAGCCAGCGCGTTAGCCGCATGATGTTTTCGAGATACGAGGAATATGATATATCAGCCTGTCGTGCAGCATCGACTTCCCAAACCCTGGAGACTCCGCCGCTGCTATTCTCCGAGTCCTGGAAGCAACGGCCCGCGGTTGGCGGACCACGCATCACGGTGCAGTCCTGCAATGCAGGGCCAACACACGCATGCCGCCGTGACGACTTTCAGCGGGTTGATACTTTTGAAGCCGCTTCATCCTGGATGTCAGTTTTTGTTCCGTTATACTTCCAACAATAGTTTAGATAGAAATATCTTTCAACAACTCCACACATCTTCCATCATTGTAGCGCGGCAGTGTCAGGAAAGCGTTTACAGTATCGATTTTGAGTTAAGCCTCCCGGGTCGTTTTAGTAGCCAGCTCCGGCGTTGCGGTTGTTGTTGACTCTCGGGCTAATTCGAGCCGCCCGACCTCGGCAGCGCTGCCCGATACCCACAAAGCTTGAATCCCGATATCTTAGACTATGTCGAACAAGGTTTCAACACCATCTCCAGGCCTCGTGAACTGATCTGAATGATGAGAAGGGACCCCCAGCAGTCTGGATAAACAAAGGCTAGACACAGGTAGCGGCGGAAACCTGACGACAACATCCATCTCGTGCGCTTCATCGCTCCCGTTATATATTAGTAGTGATCGTCGCTTTTTCTAGAAGAGCAATGGAAGAGTGGCCCTCCATCCCGCACTCTCCACAAGTCTAACAAAATCCCCACCCTCTGAGCCCGACTGGCGGAGAGGAACCCGACTCTCCAAAATAGGCGATACCGGCGTCGTCTAGAGGTTGAGTCAACGGAATGGCAGCGATGGCGGCCATCCCTGGATCTCTTGAAGACGGCAGGAGAAAACGCGACCAGTCACTTCTGCTAATGCATCGCTCGTCTCCTGGGCTAGTCTCTTCAGCATATACAGCAGGCCCTGGATGACAACTCGCTGGATCTCATTCGCCAACCGTAAATCGTGATAAACGCTTCTGCGGTCAGTGGATCTCTATTACCATATCAACATCCCAAATTCTACGCTGGGGCACGCTGTGTGGAATTGCGACTAGATCAATGTCTAACTCGAGTTGTAGGGAAGTAAATCAAGGATACCTAGGTAGCTCACGGCACTGGATCTGAAGTGAGGTAGAGTGTTCTCTAGAAAGAGCTCCCGGTGTTTGATCGTGCGTGCTCGACGATCTTGCCCGCTGTCATACCGCCGTGTGCCATCCAGCTCTTATCTTCAGTCAATCAACGGCCGGTATGTTGCTGTATTCCCTTACTACACGGATCTTGCCCGTCCAATTGCTTCCCGGACATGCTCCTGCACGAGACTCGAGTTGAGCTATTGCGTTCCTGCCGCCGGGTCTAGTGGTATAGTCCATGCAATAACGTCATGGGGAAGCCGGGGATGCTCATCACCACAAACCTGGGGTCCATGTCCCATCCCCGTGCGTGCGTGCGGTGAACTGTACCTCGAAGAATATCTTTGGTCGGGAGCGGCCCGTAGCTCGGGAATACCCTACTTGGACTTGGTGAAAGTAGGATAGTATACGAATGATATACTTGCCCCGCGTTGGCAACGTCCGCACCCTCGATCCTCGTTCCCAGCGTCCATGATGATGTTATCGTCCATCAACACCCACCCCCTTTTCACCTCTCGCATGGCCCGGCATCCACGCTGCTCTGTGAGCGGCTGTACCATACTGATGAGGCATCGAAAGGGCCTCTCGCAAGCCCAACATGGCCCTCACCTCCCACCCACACGCATATATATTCCGCTGCAGTCGCCCCGATATGGTCGTCTCTTCGTGTCCTCCCCCACACCAACCCCACCACACAGCTAACACTCCCCCGCGAAGACCAGAGATAGAGAGATATCATCCCACGCTGCCGGGACAAGGACAAGGCTGTAGTCGGAAGGCTACCTCACTCTTGCACATTTCCATCCCGCGCATAAGCCGCTGCCGTGTCGGATCGAAGCGACATCTCACATAATCGAGCCCCTGAGATCCGGTACTTGCGCCCCGATCCGGCATCTTGCAGCTGCACGTCATACCCTTGATAGTAGTACACTGCTCACTGGCTACTGTGCTGTTACACTGAGATAGGTGTGGAGTGATCTCGATTGCAGGTACCATTCTTGGATCTCGGCGAGGTATACTTTATAGCAAGGCTCCGGGCCCTCCTGGGATTACATTGACCATGGGATCTGACGGAATCACCAATGGCGCACGGCCGAAGGTGTTGCAACTGGGGAAGATTGAGCAGTGAGTGAACCCCTATTTTTGTAGACCTGTGTGGTAGATGTACATGTCCCGTCTTTACATGTACTGGCGAATGACTCTCGCCTCCTTTCCTTCGGCTCACATCTCCTCAACTAACAACTTCTCTCCTAGCGCCTCCGACGCATGGAGCGCCATAGCCCAAATCGCTGACATTGTGGTGCCCCAAGCCACCAGCCGTGAGGAGTTCCTGGCCATGGCCAAGGCAGGCGACTTCGACGGCTGCGTGGTGGCCTACCGCACCTTCGACTCCGTGTCCTTCACCGGCAAGGTCGACGCGGACTTCGTCGCGGCAATGCCCCCCTCGCTGCAGTTCATCTGCCACAACGGCGCCGGCTACGACCAGATCGACGTCCCTGCATGCACGGCCAGGGGTATCAGGGTCTCCAACACGCCGACGGCCGTCGACGACGCCACGGCGGACATCAACATGTTCCTGATCCTCGGTGCGCTGCGCAACCTCGCCGTGTCGATGCACAGCCTGCGTCAGGGCAAGTGGCGAGGGAGTCCCGTGCCGGCTCTCGGCCACGACCCCCAGGGCAAAGTCCTGGGCATCTTGGGCATGGGCGGCATTGGGCGCAACCTGGCGAAGAAGGCCCTCGCGTTCGGCATGAAGATCCGCTACTACAACCGCACGCGGCTGCCCGAAGACCAGGAAAAGGACTGCGAGGCTGAGTATGTGGACTTTGATACCCTGCTGAAGACCAGTGATGTGCTCAGCTTGAACCTGCCCTTAAACGTAAGGACCCCCTTTTCGCTCCTACCTTTGGAAATAATCATCGAGCTTAGTTAACATTCTGGCCAGCCTCATACTAGACACATCATCTCTACTCCACAGTTCGACATCATGAAGTCTGGCGTGGTGATCGTGAACACAGCGCGGGGCGCCGTCATGGACGAGGCGGCTCTCGTCGCCGCTCTCGACGATGGGAAGGTTGCCTCTGTGGGATTGGACGTGTACGAGGACGAGCCCAAGATTCACCCCGGCCTGTTGGAGAACCAGAGAACACTTCTGGTGCCTCACATGGGCACATGGACGCTTGAGACGCTCGTCAAGATGGAGGAGTGGGCCATCAGCAACGTGCGCTCGGCCGTTGAGGAGCGTCGCCTGGTCAGCATCGTCCCAGAGCAGAAGAGCATGGAGTGAGCAGGTATTGGCCTGATGGGCATCTAGAAGATCCCCAGATTCCACCTGGAAAGCTTGAAAAGGCGGGCTTGGTTTTGCTGGTGTGGAAATAGCTGATGGGTATGGCCAAGGTCTAAATTTTCTTTTCCTTCAAGGCGATGCACGCATTCCAGCAAACACTGCATATCACATTGGCTTGATCAAGAAGGTTTCACAGGGGCCCAAAAATCTAAAACTTCGTAAAGAGACACTTGGAAAAGCAGTCAGAAGTGCTGCGTGGGAACCACTTATCAAATGAACGTATTAGAAAATAGACAAGACATTTGCAAGCCTCAGTCACATGCATACGTTTGAGACGATAGCATTGGTCGTAAAAGAATATTTTCTATATTCGTCTACATAGGAGGGGCCACAGTTGAAGAGCCCGCTTATCACCCATCTTGTTTGTGTTAAACACAGATGATCAGCTATTGTTAAAACGCCTTTCCAGTTGGGGGATATCATGCAACACAGAGACACAGTGTATCTGCAACCAAGCCAACGCCCATCTTTGTTGAAAAATCAAGTGGTTGCCCGGCCCCCTCCTTGTTGTGCCTTTTAATTTCCCAATCATTATGAAAAACCAGAAAAAAAAAATCAAATCTTTACCGTTAATGCCATCTCTCTTCTCATGCAAGTCATGCTGTTGAATTCGTTACATTGGCGATGCAAGGGTTCACCCAGGTAGCGAGGAAATAATTCACGCCTCTGGTGTTGAATATTCCAGGGCGGACATCCGTTATACAAGGAGTGAGGAAATTAGTAGCGATAGCTGGCAAGTCGTTAGCAATGACATCAAAAGTATAAGCGTAGGCAATGGACACATACTGGTCACTCTTGTAGGGACCCTCAGGCTGGAGACCAAGGTACTCAGCCTGTACGTTGGTGAGAGTGGACAGCTCAGCATTGACGTGGTCAAGGTGTAGCTTAGCGACCTCCTCGTCGAGGATCTTGGGGAGGACGTAGACCTGCTTCTCGAGCTTGCCAGATTTGGCGAACTCAACGTACTTCTTGGAGAAGGCGGCGTCCTCATTCTTGAACAACATGATCTGGGCCAGAACCTGGTTGGTGAAAGAGCATGACATAACGAAAGAGGAGTGGCCGGTGGCACAGCCAAGGTTGACAAGACGACCCTCAGCCAGGAGGATGATGTGGCGGCCGCTGGCCATGGTGAAGCGGTCGACCTGAGGCTTGATGTTCTGAACGCTCTTGGCGTTGGCCTTGAGCCAGGCAACGTCAATCTCAACATCGAAGTGGCCAATGTCTGTCAAGTTTGTCAGTATGAAGATATCGTGCTGTAATCATGAGATAGAAACTTACTGCAAACAATGGCGTCGTTGGGCATAGCCTCGAAGTGCTTGCCAACTAGGATGTCACGGCAGCCAGTGGTAGTGACAAAGATCTGGCCGACCTGAGCGGCCTTCTCCATGGTGGTGACCTGGTAACCAGCCATAGCAGCCTGGAGGGCGTTAATTGGGTCGATCTCGGTGACCAGGACGCGGGCACCCATGCCGTGCAGGGCCATGGCGCAGCCCTTGCCAACATCACCGAAACCAGCAACGACAGCGATCTTGCCAGCAATCATGACATCGGTGGCACGCTTGATACCGTCAATCAGGGACTCACGGCAGCCGTACAGGTTGTCGAACTTGGACTTGGTGACGGAGTCATTGACATTGATGGCGGGCACCAGCAGCTTGCCGTCCTTCAGCATGCGGTACAGGTGGTGAACACCGGTGGTGGTCTCCTCAGAAAGACCGTAGCAGTCCTTGAGCATCTCGGGGTATTTGGCGTGGACGAGCTGGGTCAGGTCACCGCCGTCGTCGAGGATCAGATTCAGCTTCTTGCCATCCTTGAAGGCGACGAGCTGCTGCTCCAAGCACCAGTTGTACTCCTCCTCGGTCTCGCCCTTCCACGCGAAAACGGGTACGCCAGCTGCGGCAATGGCAGCAGCAGCATGGTCTTGGGTGGAGAAGATGTTGCAGCTGGTCCAGGTAACCTCAGCACCGAGGGCCACAAGAGTCTCGATCAGCACAGCGGTCTGGATGGTCATGTGCAAGCAGCCGGCAATGCGGGCGCCCTTGAGAGGCTGATCGTCGGCATACTTGGCACGAGTGGCCATCAGACCGGGCATCTCATTCTCAGCGAGCTCAATCTCCTTGCGGCCAAAGGCAGCGAGGGACAGGTCGGCGACCTTGAACTTGCTGGCGGGGGCAGACATTTTGATTACTGGATAAGGATCTTGTTAGCTTAATTATGTTGATCAAGTGCAGTGGCTCATTGTGCTTTCGTCTCTCTAATCAGAGCATCGAGGCAGTTGCTCTCTAGATGCAGAGAATAAGAGGCAATTGGCAAACGATGTTACATCCACCAAAGACCAACCAACAACCACCTGAGCATATTTACCCCTCCCCAATGGAATCCTTCATCTAATGTGTAGGAGAGCGAGAGAAAAGACTTACAATTGCTGCAGCTGAACAAGAGAGACGGCAAGAGGAGGAAAGAAGACTGAAGAGATCTCAGGAAGTCTGGGAGAGGATGAAAGGGCGAGAGAAGAGAGAAAGGATGGAAGGAGGGAAAAGTCGAGGGTCTCGAGAGAGTCTGTCCGTCGTGGGGTTAAGATCCAACAGTAATTTTGCTGCGGCAACTAAGTCGGTGAGCGCTCAAACCGCCGAGCTAAGCCGCTCTAGGTAGAACCCCTCCATTGCCCCGCCTAAAATCTCTGCAACTTTTCAATGGCCTTTTCGGTAGTGCCACCTATACGGAGTTACAGGCAGAAAGTGAGGCCGTCCAAGTGGAAAGTATAAGCATGACAGCGCCTGCGAACCCTGATGATCGTCGATCAGAACTTTCTACCAAGGAGAACAGAGTGTGAGGCTGCGTTTACAACATGTAGTGTTCTCACGGGCACAGAGCATGTAGGATGTGCAGAAATCATGGCCTTCATACGGTTAATAAGATAGTCAACTAGCTCTGGAGCAGACTCTGCTTCGCTCGGCTCTCTAGCTTACTGCCTGGCCCATCAGTGGGCGACTTGAGCGAATGCCTCTTCTGGGACAGAACAGGAATAAGCGTCTATTTCCAGTGATATCTATCCGCCTGCTGACTGACTCCCTGTGCTACCTGAACGCCGAGCCAATGCACTTTGACCGTAAAGTGTCTCTTTGATGGACCCTATTTTGACATTCCCCGCCAATCCTTTCTGACTACCTCTACTCCGGCAGCAAATTACCTCGTACTGCAAACATCTTGGCGCTGATATTTGCTGTGAAGCCGTCTACCTGTCTGCTGTACTGCTCAACCTGTCTGGCGTTGAGCATACCCTCGAGCCTGCTGGGCTCTGGGGGCAGCTTGAAGAGTCTCTGCCACTCATCCTCGGGCAGCAAGGACTGCTTTGCAGCAGTTCGGGCCGCGTTCTCTGCCTTCCGCTTTGTCTGCCAAGCTGTGATCTTCGTTTGCTCGCGAGCAAGTTGTCTCTGGTAGTATTGGTGGTTGTTGAGGTCTGTGTAGTGGGACTCGATGCTGTCTAGCAGCAAATCGCAAGTCTTCTCAAGGAAGGGATCGATCGACAGATCCAGGGCGTCAAGCGACGGGTAGGGAGGGATTTGGACGGGATCCCGCTCAATATCGGACAGAGCAGAAGGTAGAGGAACTTCGGGGTTCTCAGGGGGTGCCGGGACTTGGTGAAGGAATGAAGTGAGAAGGTGGGAGTTGTGGACAGACACAGGGAACTCGACGAGAATGTCCTTGTAGGTGAGCTTGGACTTTTGTAGGCTAGTTCACAAATGTCAGCAGTTGCGTAGAGTAGCCGTGGGTGAGTCTTCTCTAACCTATCAGTCGTAAACTTGCCCTCCTTGTAAGCCGCCATAAAAGTGTTCGTCAGCTTGAACGCGCGCAAGCTCAGAACACCCTGTGAACTACGGCTGACATCATGAACCAGAGCCACGACGCGGTCATTGTCCCGCTGGTAGTGGTATTGATTCTCGATGAAGCCGAGGTTGATGAAGTTGCCCATAGTCGCGCTCGTGTACCAACCGACGTTGTTGGCGTCGACGTTGACCTCCTTCAGATGTCTTATCATGTCATTCTGGTATACGATGTTGGCCTTTGCGCGAGGGGCTGCGGCAGCAAGGCTGGAGGCGTCATTCTGGTGGCTATCAACGCTGGCGACATCGACAGTGGGAAAGGCGAAAGTGTTCGTGACCTCGAGGACACCATTGTTGTCCATACCAACAAGGGAGCCAGTAGCGGTCGTCGGGAAGGTCGAGGAGCAGTGCTTCGTGATCTTCATCACTACCTGAATTCGCGTATGTTGGTTAGTATCGACTCTTCACAATGGTGGGGCATCGGCTGCCCAGTCGCTATGGGAAAACTTGCCAGTGCCTCAACCTGCACCGTCTTGAACGACACATCCTTTGGTGCCTCCGCCATGTTTCCTGTCGGGGAGAGAGCTCGGGTATCCAAACTGGTGTTCTCTGCCAATGTGTGCGTCCTCTAAAAGCGTGGCGTCTTGTGAGGGGTCGCTGATGTCGTCGCCGGAGGGCTCTGCAAGATGAGAAGTTTTGGCGGCGATGACTTTGGGCTGGTTTTGTGTGGGATGCGGGTTTGGGAGGCGGGCATACAGGGCAGATGGCCTCTGATTTGCCCACTGTCCTGATTGGCTCACGCCCCTCCCGAAGACAACCACCCCACACCCCACATCCCACTCGCATCCAGAGAAATCAATCACCAATTGATTCCCACACCCTTTCCAGGTAGGCTCTCCTTCAAGGCGGCAGCAGCATGAGATATCCCACTCGTGCCCCCACGCCAATGTACTTGAGCTTCCAGTTTAAATTCCACGACGTCCCTTCGCTTAAGAGCCTCACTGACCTCGTCTTTTCGTCTTTCTCTTCTACTTAGTCTCCTCTATGCTCAGTTTCTTTCGCCCTGCATTTTCACTCCAAACGGCCCTACGGAGCAGGCAGACCCCTCGAGTGTGGTGTAAGACTATCATACAATGCTTCACGATCCCCTGTGCTTCTCCAACATGAAAGAATTTCACGGGCCCTCATCTCATCTACCAGGGATCAAGCGCAGATCGTTTTCAGATATCAGCTTGTTACCCTATAGTATTCGAAGCACATGTGGCAACTTACGAACCGCAGCGGAATCTCGTGTCAATTGCTGGGCGCGGGTCACAGCCAAGGAATATCCGAGGATTCATTATTATGGGACAGTTATGCTAATGACGCTTTGCCTTTCTCATCGTCTCTTCCCCAGTCTATTCCATGTCTACCATTGTTTTGGGTCTCCAACCTACGCCGTGTTAAAAGACATTCAGGCTATTTATTTCTCTTTCATTTCCTACTTAGTCAACCCAGTCAATAATCTCCCAGTCGGAGACTCCATCACGGATAATGAGCCGGTGCTTGTCAATTCTCCAGAAGGAGTACAGGGACCGTGTGGCGCCAGCAGCCCGTCGATGCGCCGGCCCTACACCTCCATTCCTCGCATCGTCTCTTGACCTCCAGATGCATGTCGCAAGATTTCGAAGTTCGGCGTTTGGAGTGCCAAACCAATACCTGCTTCTTGTCAGCGCCTGGTGTTTGGAAAAATGCGTAGCGTGATTCACTTCAAGAATCCGCCGCTCGCCGTTGCTTCAGCATGCGCAGCCTTGTCTAACACGCCAAGGTCGCCGTATTGCGTTGTGGGCGGGATCTGCGATCGGAATGCCACAATGTAGAAGGAAGTCTCCTTCCACGTGTGGTTCCTAGCCTGGGCTAATTCTCGCACATGCTCTACTATCTCGCTCCAGTTGAATGTTTCTAGATACGGAGCGGTGGCATAGTCCTCTCGCAGGCAAGTCATGTGTGTTAGTGCCTCTGCTAGCAGCTGGTTCTCGGTATCCAGTGTGTCGAGATCTAGAAGGTGCTCTTGCTCCGTGTAAGGTGAGACGACAAGATACCTGGGCTGTTTGCTTGGTCTTCTTATGCTGTGCTTCTCGTCGTATGGCATCTCTGTTTCCGATACAAGGATGCTGTCCTTGTAAGAAGACAGGCCGTGTGTGTCTACGACAGGTGGGAGCTGAACTTGAGCCATGGTTGAGAGAGATCAAAAGTTATGGTGGGCTAGAGTTTTCGCGGCGACACACTCAACAGAAACCAAATTGACAACGGGGAAGAGAGAGAAAGAACGAGTGTCACACAATGGCAAAAGCACGGAATCAGAGAAAGAGAGAAGGAAGGAGCCAGGCTTAAGAACACCTCTCGAGTCAGGCTGGCGGTGCATCAACGGTGGGTCAGCGATACTGTGCAATGGCCCCTGGGGGAATTGCTGCAAGCCAGGGCCATGATGTCGACCGACTCCTACGGGGAACCATACCGCGCTATCTTGGGGTGCAACCGATTTGCCAATCACGGTGTTGACATCCCGTGTGCGAATGGCGAGCGATCCGCGGGTGCACTATCGCCTTCGAACTTTCTCAAAGACTGGTTCCCGATTTGGTGCGGCCCCAAGCCCACCGACTTTCTCACGCTGGCCCAGCCCAGCGGATCGCGCCATCGGATACAAGGTTGATGCCATCAGCGACATCAGCTCTCGCCCAGCAGGCTTAAAAACAGGCACTCTCGTGTAATTCAAAAATGAAACCTTTCGTGCCCTTGTTTTTTCCTGTGTTATTCGGATGTCTCACCGCTCGGATGCGTCGAGTGCCGTGTGGGAAATACCAAGGATCAGACTTGCAACGGACGCTTGCGAATTGCGGCTTCAGAAGGCGTCATGTCATTGGCCGTACCGGCCCTGCAGCATGTAGGTAGTCTATCAGCATCTATTATTCGCCTGCAGTGCGCATTATCTACATATCCGCAACCACACATTTCGCCCTCCGAGATAGGCGACGTCGCATCGGCGAACGCGATTGCCCCTGCTTCGTGCGTCTCACAAGGCGATCGTCCAGAAGCAAGCTGTTATCAGCAGCCAATTCCACCGCTTTCAGTGAACCAAGATGGCCCATCAAGGTGCTTTTCGCGCCGATTACTCTGAATTATTCAACTCGTCCTTTTCATCTCTTGTGGAGCATACCGAGATGCATATGTGGTTAGATCTGCTGAACGACCTGTCGCTGCAAGCCATATTTGTCGTAGAGATCCGGCTTGGCCGCATCCTCGTATCATATCACATCGTCGTCTCGACCGTCCTTGTCCCCTTTCAGGTAAACTTTTGCCATCTCGTAGGTACCAAGGTAGAGCCCAGAGCCTATAAATGTCCATCCGGCTCGGAAGGCGCCTCCGCGGAACAGCCCACGTACGCCTCTCTCCTGATAGATCATTCGGGCCATCTGCAAGCCACCTGTAGGACTCCTCGTCTTCTGCACTCTACCCGCAGGAGCCGTCGTGGAAGTCTCGGCCGTATCGTGACCGGCAGACAGCATCATCCGCGTCTTGACCACGTCTAAAGGCGTCGTAATGGTAGCGGCCCACATCCCCGACAGCCCGGCGCTCAAGCCTGTGATGGTGCCCGTTTCGAGGAGGCCCCGCCACGCCTTACCGTCCAGTCTCCGCTCGCCTCCACCGACACCACCATCCCCGTCCATCATCGTAGAGCCGCCACGGCCGCTGCTCCCCCGTGTCCGATCCCGGTACTCCCAGATCCGTCGCCGCGTAGCCTCAAATACCGGGAATTGCAGGGCTGTGAACGGCAAATTTCTCGCTGCAAGCGCCGTATACCCCGTGAGCAGGCGCCGTGCGGGTCCGCCCTCGCTCTTCCATAGCATGCGCAGAGCCTGCATAGACGCGCTGCCGCCCTTCAGGCCGCCCTGGCTTTGGCGGATCATCTGCGCATTCTGTTTGATCACTTCCGAGGGCGTGAGGACCAAACAGGACGCAAGCTCGGCTGTGCCGGAAGCAATCGCATGTACGACGGCCTGCGGCACGGGGACCGGGCTCGTAGCGACAAGACCTGAATAGAAGGTTTTGGCGGCTTCGTATGTAGTGAAGAAGACGCCTGCTGCTGGCAGGGTGGCTATAATGACGCTGCCGACGCCCTGGTAGAGCCCACGGAAGACATGGATGGAGCTCTTCGGGGCAGAGGCGGACTTAGCGTATGTCTTGATGTAGTCCTGACTCTGCAGACGCGTTTTGATCGTATCGAGAGGGTAGACCAGAAGGTCTACTGTGAAGGCTGCCACTGCGCCGGCCTGTCGTCGCGAATGTCAGCCTCCTCCGCGCCAGCGACTCTAGATGGCCATCCAGGGTTGCATGTTCTCGCCGAGACGCACGCCTTCGTCAACAGAATATCAACCATCGCTGACTTCAGGCGTTTCAGAGCCCTCGATATCCGTGCAAGCACCTTGCCGGAGCCCTGGCATCTATTGAGGATAGATGGCAAAAGGCTCAAGGATGCTCATAGGTCCTACGGTAATGACAAGCTGACAGTCTCTCTGTAAACATCCACTTGGACGCGGCTACTGTTGCGTCTCAACACCAACTGGATTTAAGAAAAAAGAGCATGTAGGCACAAAACTTACTATTAATATCTCTGTGCTCGTATTACTGCTCATCTCGGCGGCTGGCGAACCATATCAGCGGTTGCAGATTTCTCCTGGTCCCTGTCTGGAGGAGTTTACAGCGCAAGCTTCATTTGATAACGTTATGACGACACTGATAGCGATGCTCTTCAGTGGGGTTGGTCGGATCTGGCACTAGACCCGACCTTGGCACCTGCCCCTCCTCGGGGCTCACTCGAGGCCTTTAATTATTTGGTTATCGCTCAGTTGCCCCAAGCCAGAGCTTTTTGCCATTCGCGAAATGTTCATATCGAAGTCGGATCATCAATCAGTTCTTAACGTACACTTCTAGGCCTTGATTGTGTCTCGTATTCTAGATTCAATAATCGAATACTGATGACTTTTGAGTGCGAACTTGTCGCATGCAGAGATCTCTATAGCTCCAAAATATCACGGTGCCCCAGAATGCGTGCTACAGACACTTTGGTCGATCAGACTATTCAGAGCCATGCCTCATATAGTCTAGGCAAAGTTGCAGGATGCGGGCGATAGACTTGCAACGCCATTGTATGGAGACTCATCATCTGTAGATATGCGAAGACGAGACAGGGTAAGTGGGATGGAAGAAATCTTTCCAGATCTGTGTACATATAGCAGAGAGCAATGCCTAGTGGGGTCTAAGAGCACACAAGCAAGACATCTACCATCCATTGACTTGAATATAACAAAACTTTAGAGAATATGACACTGCCGTGTTCTTGATAACTCAACTTCAACATTAGAGAAAAGGTGTCAATGAGAAGACGGTATTCTTGTCGCACAGGGAGAAATTTCATTCCTTCATTAGATAAGAGCCATTAATTTTTGGTTGCCCCCTTTTTTCTTCTTCAAAGGACTTTCCTTTGGAAAGTCGCTCGTTGCTAAGCTGCCTACCTAACTGGGGGCTAGGTAGTTATCATTAAAGTTGAATAAGCATTGAGTTGGGCCTGCTAACTTTGCCGGGGCTTGGTGTTGTATAGTATCCGTATCCCCTTGAGCGCATCCTCTAGAACACCACTGTGCTACGCATGAACGTCTAGAAGCACATAAGAATCCAGAGCTACATTTTGACGTCTACACGATCAGACAATCAATCTGAGCCTGAAGTTGGTGAAATATTGCCAGCATGACTATTGATTGCCACAGTTGTCTGCTGTCACCACTTGTGAATAGTGTAGAAGACGATGCCAGTCTAGCTATCTTAATGGATCCTATGATTGAAGCCGGGACACTAGTCATAGTTGTCCTAAATAATAATGGCGCTACGAGCTCAGCCAGCTATGTTCAAGTCTATTTGGCTGCAAGCATATCTACTTTTCTCGGCGCCAATTCTTTCAACTCCCAATGTGCGCATTCCATGATCTATGACCATGAAACAGGGATTCGGCATGATTAAGTAGGTGCACTGCTCCAGACTACCTCTGTTTGTGGTTCGGTCACTGTGTAGCCGGACCACAACTCACTCTCTGGGTTGGCTATCAATATCACTATTTCCGAGGATGTCCAGCCATCCAGCTCATATTACGCACTACACACACAAGAGCGCTTCGGGCGGACGCTGACCGTGATAGCGTCAAGGTGTCGTCACAGATATTGACCTGACTGGTTCAATGGCCAAATTTAGCCAGGCATTTCTTGAAGAATACACCTTGTCAGAAATTCTCCTGCTGGCAAGGTGTGCCGATGGAGCCTAGACCAGAGGCAGCAACGATACTGAGCCTTACGGACCATATATTAAAGCCTATCCAGAGTCTGCATAGCAAGCTGTAAACAAGACATCAGCGACCATGTCTTTGGCAACCGGCGCTGTCCCGGCAGACGGCACACAGAAGTACAGCTAAGATAATCTCAAATCGGCCGTCTATCGCGGGAGTACTTTACACGTAGACAAAAGTGGGGACGGTCATTCCAACGGCTGTAGCAGAAAACACTGGGACAAGGTTAGGATATGTTATTTCCACGATATTGCCCTTCGTGAAGCGTGGCATTGGGGGGTCTTTTTGTATTCGACCCTTTGAACAGTCATGCCTATCTCGGGGTCCGGTCGAGGACTGACAGAAGATACACGTGGCAAGGAGTATAGCAATAATCGAGTATCTGGCTCTTGTATTCCTGTTTGCGGACATTGCCATGAACTTGAGCTGGGTAGTATAATACTGTTTTTCCCACATTGGAAAAACTGTTTGTAAAGTGTTCGTCCTCTTGCGGCTCGCCTCATAAGCTGCTTGCAGAAAGGAGATACCTAGACGTGGAAGCACAAAGTCTTCTTTCGGTAACGAAGCTTAGAAATTTTCCTCCAGAGTTCTGTAGAGACGAAGTAGTCAAAGGATTAGTTTTCATATATGTGTGTGTGGCTGGATGGCATCCCTAATAATTGTTAGAGAGGTACATTCTTGACGGAGTCTAAAACGGAAACCTAAGTTAACGGTGACTTGTGACGAACCGTTTAGGATCGTCCTACGCCACCCAAGATTTCTCTTTATCCGCCTACCTACCACATCAAGACAGACAAGCAAGTACATAGCACCCTGCGGTATCCTAGTGCAATGACAGGCAGTCCAAGTAGTGAAAGCAGGTGCCGCTGACGGCCAATGACATACATGCCCTGGCTGAAGAACAGATTGCCAAGCTAGGTGATTACCCAACTATCAGCAACGTCGTGGTTGCGTAGCTGCGCACATCGCAACCACAGACAGACAGACAGAGAGACCCCCGCATCTCATCTCCTGACCGAAAAAGGCCTGCCTACTTCCAAACGAGTCCATCGGGGTCTGATTCCCCTTACCCGACCATATGGAGCCCCAAGGCACAGGCTCTCGCTGGCAAAAGATCGCACCCCACCCGAACAGAGGCACCACGTTTTCGCCTTCGGCCGGAGGATCGTCCGCGGCCAATCAGTTGCTTGATGGCACGTCGAAGCAACAAGATGGACAGAACAAGCGGAAGCGAACCACCATTCGCTCAGCATGCGATGCGTGCAGAAAGAGAAAAGTCGCTGTACGTGACTCTTTACTCCTTCCTGTCAATCCCCGGTCTGTTTCGTTGTCGTGAGACGGCAGTGCTGTGCAATGCCCAACGTCAAAGTTTCCCTGTGAACACAAGGCAGGCCCTTAGTACGCAGCGCGGTTCAAGAACTTCCAACCCCGGGCCTCTGCAAAAGTGGCGGATAGGAAGGCGCCTCGAACCGTAGTTGCAACCTACCTACCTTGGTAGCGTCTGCAGTCTCTTGTCATAAGCGCGCGTTCTGATGTGTGTCGCTCGACACCGTGGCCACCAAAACTCATGCCTTACTACCCACAGCCCCCTTGACATCTTTGCTGGAACAGTTTAACAAGAAAACAGTGCGATGGAGAACGGCCCCGATGCGTTCCGTGCAGTAAGCGCAACATCAAGTGTGTCTATAGCATCAGAGATACATCAGTTCTTAGTTCGGAGGATTCCGCCGAAAGGCGTCTGGGAAAGGACGCGTCCGAGTTGCTCGATTTTCTGAGGGCGGTGCCACACGATGAGTCGCTTATAGTACTTCAAAAGATCAGGTCTGGCATAGACCCTGCAGCAATTCTGCCTGCTCTCAGGGATCGATATGCCAAAGAGCCTCGGAAACTCACAATACCGCCAACACCTCATGCAAGCCGTAGCAGCAGTTTCTCACGTCTTCCACAAACAGCCATGGGTCTCGAATTCGAGCTAAATATGAGACACCAGATTGCTTATCCATCAACTTTTCCCCTCGATACTGCCTCTATCGACGAGAACACCTTCCTGAGCCTAAGCGCCTCAAGAGGGTTAAGCCCGATCTCAGAAAAGTATGTTTGAAATCCTCTCGTTATCAGGACATGGAATTCTTCATAAGATATGAATATGAACCGCCCTCTTTGCTGACAAGATCTGTCCGATCCAGTTCTCAAGTCAAAACTACCCCAGATGGCCCAACCACAAGCCAAGAACGCGAAGTTGACCTAAGAAGCACTCTTACCCATCCTATCAGCCAAATCATCTCGCCCTCCGCTTCAGCCTCTGAAATGAGCGAGGAAATACCTGGTGGAATCGCGACGCTTCCTTCATTGACGCTATGTGACGAGCGTCTGCTAAGACTCGAAATATCTAACTGGACAGATGTCATGGTGACAAATGAGCAAGCAGCGAGAGCCATCTCCGTCTATCTAGAGACTGACCACCCTATCCTTGGCTTATTTGACGCCGATTTATTCTTGGAGGACTTGGTCAACACGCGGCCGAACTTTTGCTCCCGACTTCTCGTCAGCTCATTATTGAGCTTCGCGTTTGTACGTCTCGAACCCTTCTCTGAGGATAGTCTTATTAGGCTGTTCTTGCTCTTATGACTTGCTCCCGTCACATACTAATCATAACTAGCAAGGGTACTCCGCGATAGAGTTCGACTCATATGCTCTGAGCCATTCGTTCTACTATGAGGCAGTGAGAATCTGGGAAGTTGATGGCTCAAAGCCAACATTGACTGCCGCGTCTGCAGCCCAGTATATCTCTCTTGCTGCCGAAGCCTACGGCGACGGGGAAGCCGCAAAAGTTTACTACATGGCCGGAATGAGCTTGGGAGAGAAGATGGGATTGTTCAGCTCAAGTTCAGAGGAGTCTTCTGCAAAATCATGGCTGGATCATCATTTAGACTGGATCCGGGCAGCGTCACATACTGCCTGGGGAATTTTTTGCCGCTCTACGTATGCCTGCCCTTCCGATTCATGTGGCCCCCTCAAATTTCTATATTGAAGGGCCATTTCTG